ACGGAGGCTACGAGGAGCCGATCTGCCATGCAAACTGACAAAGACCAGAACCGGCACCAAGACGGAGGCTACGAGGAGCCGATCTGCCATGCAAATGGACAAAAAATAGAACCAGCACCAAGACAGGGGTCACACAGAGTGGATCAGCCACACACACTAACAGAATCTAGAACCAGCACTAGGACGGGGGCCGTGAGAAGCCAATCTGCCACACAGACAGACAGAACCCAGATCCAGCACCAAGACTGGGGCAATGCTGTGCTGATCCAACATCATTCAGATGACCCACCAAACCACTGGAAGTGCAATACTTGAGAAAGATACTAGAACTGGTACCTGGACGGGGGCCAGCGCCACCACCAGACCAGTGGTGCACATTGTCCAGTGCCCTGTTTCCAGAGCTGCCAGCTAACTTTGGGGCCCATCATACCCAGAACATTCCCATTGCTATTAAACATAACCCATTCTTTTGTCAGTGTAAGGGGACAGATTTCCCTTTACTTCCTTCATTCCTGCTTGACTGGTTTCCTTTCACTCACAACTGGATCCTCACACTGACCACTTCCTGCACTGCTCAAGTTCCCCAAGTGAAAAGCTGAGATTGGCCACAACCAGTGCAGCACTTGGGCGCTTAAATCAGCCGCAGTTAGAGCTCCAGTGCAGTTAAGCCTTTCAGCAAACTGAATATCAGCTGCTCAGACCTGCTATCTCCCATCGAGAGAGACAGTGATTTATAGCAAACCTCCTGGGAACGCTGTCATCATGCTGGGCCGCACTCCACGTCAGACTGGATGTGCTGAGCTGGAGGCTCTGAGTGCTGAGAAATCGAACCGACAGTTTGCAACGATGTCGTCAGTGGGCGTTCCTAAGGTTACGCCCCTAACAAGGACCTGCAAAGCCACAATGCACACCACACACGCAGACCACTGGTCAGGTCACGAGCAGGATAAATGTGAGTTAAGGGGATGATTAAAGATGCAAATGACCAGGCAGAGCAGGTTGGCCAGCACCAACCTATCTATACAGGGCTTTTTCATTCACTTCATTATTTATGCTGCCTTTTAGCAGGGCACATGTCAGCCAGATCAGTTAGCTTGAATCATTCATTAATTAGCTAAGTGAAATCATTAACTATAAGGCAGATGGATATTGCTGTGAAAAGGCCTTTCAGAAAGGCGCTGGCTGACAGGGAAGAGGCCCACAGTTGCCCATGGACACTGGCTCATGCTGCCCCGATTCCTCTTCGCCTTCCCCCCCCCCCCCCCCCCC